TTCTATTTTAGAGTTAGAAAAGTGCTTAGCATCCCATACCTGTTTTTAAAATTTCTTCCTACAGCAAAGGTGTTTAGAGTCTGTGGCAGAGGCCATTTTGTGATTAATCTTAGCAATGATTTGATGAAATAATCAAAATGAGGAAATAAGTTATACTAATTTAAAGTGTTACAGCTCATTTTGTCCCATCAGACTCCTTTAATTTCTTTGCTGTGGGCTAATGTGATACTTCTGAGATTGTGTATTTTGGTAATACCAACTCCATTCTAGAATCTTCGGTTATGTTAGCTTTTATTAATGACACTTAGTCTTGTATCTCTTAATAGCTTGTTTTTATGTTCTTAAACTTTAAAAAATCAATAGATGGAAAGAGGATATTAGTAATTACATTTCGTTTCCATGGCAGTGATAAGTTGTGGACCCATGCAGGAAATTCTTTAGTGTTAAATTGATTTAAAAAATTGATTAAAAATTGATTTAAAAAATTAAAATGATTAAAAAAGTGTATATCTTTTATTTGCCTTATTATTATGGTCACAGTAAGCAAAAATTTCAATAGGTTTTTCATAGCTATTAGTGGTCTCAGAAATAAAAAGGTGACTTGTTAAAGTATGTCTTTTGTAATGTAAGACTTATACAACTAATAAAATAAAACTTGATATAGGTTGAATAAAATATCTTAACTAGATAGCAAAAAGAGCATTCAGAAATACTAGTAAGTGATAAAACATTTCTTTCTATAAAACAGTTTTTAAGAAAACTCAAAACTTCATCATTTATACCTTGTAGAAACACATAACATTCAGAAGGAAAAACTCGAGTGATTATAAAATACTCTTTCAGTTATATATTTTTGTGACTACATATTAAAATTGTACAGTTTAAAAGAATCAGAATACACAGGACATATATACTACTAAATTTATGCTAAATGATTTGAGAATGATAGTTTTCTGTCTTTTGCATTTGTTGAAGAGTTTATTTTTGCAGCATACATTTGTAGGGTAAAACTTATTTTGGCTTTATAATTTTAGAAACCGAAAGTTTTTGAAACATAGTATTAGCTTCTGTTTTGAAATGTCATGTTATATACTTGTTAGGCTTGCCATAATATTAGCTTTCTTAAAAGCATACATAAAGAATTAAAGGGTAAGAGAGTAAGATGAAATTAAGAAAAAGTACAACAGATATTGGATAATTTTTTGCTTTTTATAAAACATATGCTCAAGAGGGGAAAGAATAAAATTTGAGTTTATTTACTGCCATTTTGTGGTTTTAGAATCAGCTTTTATACAGAAATTGTCAACTAGATACTCAGAATACTGCCAGATAGGAACACAGGGCATTATAGACTGTTTTGCTTAGCAAAAACAGAGATATAGAGGCTTGAAATTGCAAGTTATGTTTAGGGAATGACAAATAGTCCAAACTGGCTAGAGCATAATGCAGGAGGGTGATGGGTAAGGCAGGACAGATAGGCTGGATCTGTATTTAAAGAGTCTTTCATGCCAAATAATAAAATGAATGGTAAGGAATTTGGATTATGTCTTTCTGGCAATAGGGAATCTGTCATTTAGCAGAGGCACAAACCTACTTTTGCCACACAGTGTAACTACAAAATAGTTTATTGGAGAAATGGTAAACATCTGTTGAAGATACATGTTGAAGCATTTATAGATGATTTCTGAAATTTGCTGTAACATACTGCGTTGGGTAGAAAGGTGTATTTGGAGATTAATGAATCAAGATTGGAAAAATGTTGATAATTGTTGAAGCTGTGTGATGGGTTCTTGGGGGTTCAGTATATTTGTCTAATTTTGTAATTAGACATTTGAAATGGGGATAACATCCCTTATTTCATAGAATTGTTATGATGAATCAATGAGCTTATATGAATCTCTTAGCACAGTGCCTTGCACATGATGATAGCACGATAAATACTTGCTCCTGTTGCTGTCTCAACTACTACTGTGATAGCACAGGGCTGAGAACGAGACCTTACAGACTGCCGACACCTTGAAGGGCAGAAAGAGAGGAACAGCACAAAGAGACTGGGAAATGGAGGTCATGGTTGGCTAAGAAGAAGGAAACTTCTAAAAAATGGTAATTAATGATTTCAGGCACTGTGGAGTAGCCTCCGGAACAGGTACAGAGTAGGGACAATGGAATGTTTGACGATTAGAAGGCCGCTGGTGATTGTTGAGAGAATCCCATTTAATGGGATGATAGTGGCAGAAAGCCAGAGTCCTAGTGAGTTCATGATCAAGAGAGAAGATTAGGCAAGTTCCCACCACAGAAGAAAGTAGATGCAGATTCTATGGTATTAGGTTGTAGTGGTGGCTTTGGAAGAGGAAGACTGATGAACATTTTAAATTTGGTTTATGTAAAATTCTGGGAAATGCTAATAATTTATGTCTTAAACCGGTTCAGTGGTTGATTGCAAAGAGTGTTGAAGGGAGGATTGGTTACAAACAGATGGGAAACTTCTGCTGATGATGCAGATTTCATTATTTCACTTGTGCTCATGGTTTTACCTGTGTAGGTATATGCCAAGGGTATCAGATTTTATACATTACGTATGTGCAGTTTGTCAGCTATACCCCAATAAAATAGTAAAAAATCATTAAATGGTTTTTACATCAAACCCTGAAGATGTGATTTCATATTCACTCAGAGTTATTTCAGTTTTTCAGTTTACTTTCTGGCTGTGGTGGTTAATTTTGATGTAGAGTTGGTCAAATTCCAAGTCATACTGAGATATAGTCTAATGATTTTTTTTTAAATGAAGGAGAACTCTAGTTATTATCAGTAGCAGTCCTCCTAACTGAAAACTTGTTGCAAATGTACTTTTATCATTGTTATTCAGTACTGAAATGTTGTGAGTTTGTCATCTGGAATTTCCATAGTAGTCACATTTTAAGTGTACTCCACTGATGGGCATTGTCATCAGCAGGTTTGTGTTGTTTTAGGCGAAAGATGAAGGAAGTGAAGGCTAGGAGAGATTTTGTGTCAGGCACTTGTTGTGTTTGGAGGTCCTCAAGACCACCCCTAGGCTTGAAGGTTTCCTGTGAGGACCCACAGGACTCATTCCACAGTGGTTCTCATGGCTATGAATTGTGATAGTGAGAGAGTACAAGTCAAAGTCAGTAAAGGGTAAAAGTACATGGGATAAAGTCTGGGGACACCAGGCACTCTCCCATTGGAGTCACACAGGACAAGCTTAATTACCCAACCACACTGTGACACATGTGGGATGTTGTCAGCCAGAGAAACTTGTTTGACACGCAGCACCCTGAGGTGTTTCCAGGCACTGGTCAAGTAGGCAGCCTCTGCCTACCATGTGACAAAATTCCAGACTCCTGGAAGGAAAGCATAAACCCATATTGTTTGTCCAAATAGTGTAGGTACAGTGAGCAGTTCTTACCGGTGACTGGTGCAAACTCTACCAGAATTTAAGTTTTAAGTATCAGAGTTTCGATTGGCCTCTGTTTTCAGCAATACTTGTCATTTACAGTCTTTTTAATTTTAGCCTTTCTAATGGGTGAGCCAGTGATATTTTCTGGTGGTTTTAATTTTTATTTACCTAATGACGAAAGAACACCTTTTCAAATGTTTATTTGTCTTTCATGTCATTTTTCTGTGAAATGTATGTTCATATCTTTCACCCATATTTTATAGGGTGGTTTTTTTTCTGAGTCAATACGAATTCTTTATTTTGAATGCAAGTCCTTATAAATACATTCTTTAAGAATGGGGCTTGCCTTTTCTGTGTTCTAAAGAGTGGATTTTAATTTTGAGGAAATCAAATTTCTCATTTAAATTTTTCTTGTTTATGGTTTGGCTTATGTTCTCCTTTGAGTGTTCCCGGATGTTTCTCTTCCTGGTCGGGGCGAGGGGCTGTGGCTGTCTTGCTGACACTGGCGAGAAAGCCCGCAGGGCGTCTTCACAGCACAGGCTGAGTTGTCCTGCCGCCCTAGGGCCTCTACAGCCTTCATGAACCCATGTGTTCACTGAGTTCTTTCCTCTCTGGCCTATTAGAACTTTCTCATAATTGGTTTGTTCTGATTTTCTATTTCCTCTTGATTCATTCTCAATGGGCTGTATGTTTCTAGGAATTTGTCCATTTCTTCTAGGTTAGATTGCTTGCTGATGTAGTTCATAGTAGTCTCCTATGCTTCCTTGTATTTTTGTTTTATCAGTCGTACTGTCTCTTTCATTTTCAATTTTATTTGATTATTTTCTCTTATTTTCTTTGTTAGTCTAGCTAAGGTTTTGCAATTTTGTTTATATTTTCAAATATCTAGGTCTTGACTTCATTGATCTTTTCAATTTTTTTCTTTTGTCTATTTCATTGAGTTTTCCTCTGATCTTTATATATCCTTTGCTAATTTTCTTAATTCATTCTTCTTTTTCTAGTTTCTTGAGGTATAAAGTTAGGTTTTTTGAGATTTTTCTTTTTTTCTTAATGTAGGCATTTATCACAATAAAATTCCCTCTTAGGACGACTGCTTTTTCTGCATCCTATAAGCTGTGACATATTATGTTTCCTTTTTTGTTTGTCTTAAGATATTTTTTGATTTCCCTTTTGATTTCTTCTTTGACCCATTGGTTCAAGAATGTGCTGTATAATTTCCACGTATTTGTAAATTTTCCAGCTTTGTTCTGTGTTGATTTCTAGTTTCATACCATTGTGGTTAGAAAAGATAATTGATGTGATTTCACTTTTCTTGAGTTTGCTAAAACATATATTTTGTGGCATAACATGTTATCTGTCCTGGAGAATATTTCAGGTGTGCTTGAGAAGAATTGTATCCTGCTGCTGTTAGATGGAATGTTCTGAATATGTCTGTTAGGTTCATTTGGTCTAAAGTATAATTTTAGTCTAATGATTTCTTACTGATTTTCTGGTTTTACGATCTGTCCATTGTTCAGAGTAGGGTATTGAACTCCCTTACTATTTGTGTGTTGTTTATGTCTCCTTTTAGATCTGTTAGTATTTGGTTAATATATTTAGGTGTTCTGTTGTGTGGCTGTGTATATGTTTACATATATTGTATGTTGTATCCTTCACCTCTTTGTCTTTAACTTGTCTTTTTTTTGACTTGATGTCTCTTGACTGATAAAATTATAGCTACCCCTGCACTCACTCTTCTGGTTTACATTTGCAAGGATTATACTTTTCTCCTTTTCTTTGAACCTATGTTTGTAGGCAGCATGTAGTTGGGTTATATTTTTTTAATCATTCAATGACTGCATGCCTTTTGATTGGAGGAGTTAATCTATTTACATTTAAGTAATTTTTGCTAGGTAAGAACTTACTAATGCCACCTGCTGTTTTCTGACTCTGTAGTTCTGTTGTCCCTTCTTTTGTTGTTATCCTGTGCAAATTGATGATTTTATGTAGTGGTATGGTTTGTGGTTTGATGTCTTTCTCTTTATTTTTTGTATATCTAAGATTTTTCTTTGCCATGAGGCTTACATAAAACATGCAGTGTATTTTATGTTGATAGCATCTTAACTTCAATGCCATATGTAAATTCTACCTTATTACTCCTACCAAACTATTTATGTTTTTGATGCCACAGTTTCCATCTTTTTTTATAGTGTATGTCCTTTAATCAGTTATTATACTTATAGTTATTTTTAATACTTTTGTCCTTTAACCTTTATACTAGAGTTAATTAATATGATACCACATTAATATTAGAATATTCTGAATTTGACTATAAATTTACCTTTACCAATGTGTTTTGTATTTTCATACATTTTTATGTTACTAATTAATATCCTTTGATTTCAGCTTGAAGAACTCCTTTCAGCATTTCTTATAAGGCAGGTCTAGTCATGATAAACTCTCTCAGTTTTTGTCTTGGGAAGTCTTTATCTCTCCTTAATTTTTGAAGGACATCTTTGCCAGGTAAAGTATTCTTAGTTGGTGTTTTTTTTTTTTCTCAGTACTTTGAATATATTATCCCACTCTCTCCTGGGATTCTGCTGTTAGCTTTATGGGGGTGACCTTGTAAGTTACAAACTTTTTCTGGCTGCTTTTGAAATTCTCTTTGTTTTTGATTTTAGTAAGTTTTATTCTAATGTATCTTGGAATTGATCTTTTTGGGTTGAATATTTTTGAAAGGTAACCTAGCTTCATGAACTTGGATATCCAAGTCTTTCCCCAGATTATTTCTTTTAATTTATTTCTTTAAATAAGCCTTCTGTACCTTTCTTCTTCCCCCATTCTTCTGGAACTGCAGTCATGCACAGATTGTTTCTCTTGATGGTATTGTATAATTCACATGGACTTTCTTCACTTTTTTTCATTCTTTTTTCTTTGTTTTCTTCTGACTGGATAATTTCAAAGTTCTTATCTTCATTTTCATTAATTTTCTCCTTGGTCAAGTCTATTTTCTCATTCTTATTTGAATTTTTCATTTAATTCACTGTAATCTTCAGCTCCAGAGTTTGTTTGGTTCTTTTTTATGATTTCTGTGTATTTGTTAATCTTGTTTTATTTTTTGACTTTGTTGAATGCTCTTTCTGTAGCTCTTTTCTTGTAGATCTCTGAGCTTATTTAAAACAACTGTTTTGAATTCTTTGTTGGGCAAATCACAGATGTGTTTCTTTGGTACTGGTTACTGGAAAATTACTGTGTTCCTTTGGTAGTATCATTCCCTTTATTTTTCATGTTCCTTGGAGCCCTGCATTGCTGTCTTTGCATCCTTTGGTGGCTGGAACAGTCACCTCCTCCTCCATTTTTATTGACTGTTCGGTAGAGAAATACCTTCTGTCAGCCCTGCTGGCTATTCTGAGCCTTTCTTAGATCTTTGCTATTGATGCACTTGTTCTACAATTCTTGTTTCCTTTCTGGGTGGAATCCTTATGTTTATATGCTTTCTCTCAATCCTGCAAAGTCAGACCAGTTGCTCACGGCCTCTTGTTTGCTTTGCCTAGGGTAGTGCTGGATGCTCAAGTTTGTGCTCTTGAGCAGATGTGAGTAGCTTTCTGCGTGTGCTTAGTAGCTGCCTGCAAAAACTTGCACTCATTGCTACCGCTTGGGGGCACACACAGGGAACTGACTATGGAGTTGGGGAGTTTATGGGGGTGTGTGCAGAGCTTTGGGGGTGTCTGTAGGCCAGCTGGGGAGATCTGTAGGGGAGGTGTCCCCACTGACTCATGGACAAGCTTCCTGATGGAGTCTGAAGTGGTTGGTAGGAGCCACATCCTTGTGCTGCCCTTTGAGAGCCCTGGCTGCTGTTCTAACCCCTCCCCGCCCCCACCAGTTGTACAGCAGACCTCAGTATTCTGGGTGGATCGAGAAAGAGGTGGGCTTCCTCACCAGCGTGCCATATAGCTGGGGAAGACAGGTGTCCACTCACACGTGCTCACTTCCCCCCAGGGAGAAACCATAGGCTGAGAAGTCTCTCTGGTCTGTACTGTGCTGCCTTGTGAAAAGGGTGATGCGGGTAGCATGAATATGTTCTTCACACCCTCTTCAGTGGGTCCAGTCTCAAATATTTTTTTTCTGCAGTGCTATGCTGGAACTTTTCCACTGGCCTTCCGGACTTCCACAAAGCCTCCTTTGTTCATGGTTGATTGTTGAAATCAGGGTTCTTTGGTGGTAAAATAGAAAATTCTGCCATTTTGCTTACCTCACTCCTCTGTGATTCTACTGGTACTCTGAGAGTTTTATTTATTTATTTATTTTTAGTAGTTTATTAAGGTATGATTGATATACACTCTTATGAAGGTTTCACATGAAAAAACAATGTGGTTACTACATTTACCCATATTATCAAGTCCCCACCCACACCCCAGTGCAGCCACTGTCCATCAGTGCAGCAAGATGCCACTGAGAGTTTTATTTTTATCATGAATTGGTATTGGGTTTTGTCATGCTCTTTCTGTATTAAAATTATGTGATTTTCCTTCTTTAGATTATTAATATGGTAGGTTACATTGATTTTTGAATATTGAAAATGCCTTGCATCCCTAAAATAAACTTCATGTTGCATAGCTCTTCTTATCTATTGCTAAATGTATGTGCTCTGTTTGTGTGTGTAGAGCCTTTAATTGTATTCCTTTGCTATCACCGTTTTGGTGTCTGTGTAATAGCCCATCTAAGTCCTGATACCAATGACTGTGTCT